TTTGCCAGTTTATTACATGCAGGTCCTGTGTAATCACCACTACAATCAAGATACAGAACTACTACCACACCTTAAAGAGCTCCCTCAGCTACCTCTTTATAGAATATCCATCCCCTTTCTCCACCAACCATCCCTGACAACCACTAATTTATTCTCCATCTCATCCATTTCGAGTAGAATTTCATTTTGATTTATTTCTAGTTTTTGGAGAGTGTCTCTTTGTGCGGATATTTAGGTACGACATTGTGTATACATAACTTATCTCAGTTCTACTTGTGTTGACATTATCAGTTTCAGTGAGGGGTAGAAACGTTTCTTCTCTTTAAGTCCCTTTACTCTCCCGTTTATAACTGTCTTAAATATTTTCTCTGTATAAATTGAGAACTGCATCAGACGATGTATGAGTACTCAGGACAGGGGACGATGGACTGGACCTGGTAGGCTTTGATCTTTTTAGGAAAGAGGAAATAGAAGGGACCACAGGGTCCCTCCTCCCAGCCAGCAGTCACTTCATTTCTCCCTTTTGTTTGTGCAGTTGCTTGAAGTAGAAATTACCACAGTGCTCATCAACTTTTCTAATCTATCCTGCATACAACCACTAACCTTTTGCTTAAACCTTCAGGTATAATTTAGAAAACTCAAGAGAAGGAAAACATATTATTAAATTATTTTCACTCTTTTGTTCTTCCTTCTTGATATTCCAAGATTGCTTTTCCAATCATTTATTTTTTGCTTCAAAAACTTCTACTAGCTATTTTTTAAAGGGTGGGGGTTGCTGTTGACAAATTCTCTCAGTTTTTCTTCGTCTGAGAATGTCTTGATTTCCTCTTCATTCCCGATTTTCTCTGCGTATAGGATTTTTAGTTGACAGTTCTTTTCTTTCAGCACTTGGAAGATGTTGTGCCACTTCCTTCTGACTTCCGTGGTTTCTGATGAGAAACTTGACTTCATTCAAAGTTGTTTTTCCATTATAGGGAAGTTGTCATTTCTCTCTGGCTACTTTCAAGATTTTTCTTTGCCTTTAGTTTTCAGAAGTTTGACTATGATGAATATTGACATGGATTTCTTTGGGTTATCCTGTTTGGGATTTTATCAGCTTCTTGAATCTATAGGTTTATGTCTGCCATATTTGGAAAATTTTTAGCCGTATTTATTTGAATATTTTTTAAGCTCCACCTTCTTCCTCCTCTACTTTTGAGACTCCAATGACATAAGTATTAGATCTTTTCTTATAGTCCCACAAATTCCTGAGACTCTGTTAATTTTTTTTCAGTCTATTCTCTCTCTGTTGTTCAGATTGGGTGATTTCTATTATTCTTTCTTCAAGTTCATTTTACTGTAGAACTCATCTAGTGACATTTTTCAGTGGGTTTTTTTTTTTCAGTTTTAAAATTTCAGTTTAGTTCTTCTTCATCTGTTTTGTTTCTTTGCTGAGACTCTTCATTTGTTTGCAGTATGTCTGTAATTGCTCATTGAAGCATTTTTATACTGGCTGCTTTAAAATCCTTGTCAGATAATTTCAACATCACTGTCATTTTGGTGTTAGCATCTATTGGTTATCTTTTCTTGCTCAAGTTGAGATTTTCCTGGTTCTCAGTATAAAGAGTGATTTTCAGTCCTGGACATTTTGAGTGTTATGTTATGAGACTCTGGATCCTATTTAAATCTTCTGTTTTAGCAGGCTCTCACTGATGCTGTCAGATAGAGGTCAAAGTTCAGGTTCCCCACTCAGCCGCTGTTGACATCCTGGGAAGGGGGTGTAGAGTGGGTGCCTAATTACTGCTGGGCCAGGGTGGGAGTTCAGGCTGCCCACTGATCCTCTGCTGAGACCACCCTGGCTGGGAGGGGAAGGATGCCTTGTTTTTGCCACACTCGTGGCTTCTACTGACAGGATGGAGGAGCACATTGCTTCTGGCAATGGCGACAGCCCTGACTCTCCACTAAGCCTTCTGACAGCACCCTGCAAGTAGGAGTAGAAGCCTGGGGTCCCCGTTTATCTTGACTGGCAGAGTATAGGGAGTATTACAATTTTTTTTCTGTGGTTTGACTGGAGTAGAGTAGACTGGAGTAGTCTAAAAGTTTTCTTTCTTGTTACTCTGCCCCTTCCTAGTCCTTTGGCTAGAAAGAGCAGGATTTCTTTTTTTTTTTCATCTGTGCCCATTTGTTTCTGGGTTGCTAGCTTCTCCAGTACTCAGTCTGAGATATCTGAGGCAAAAAGAAAACCATCGGAATCATTGCCATGTCTTTCTATGGGTGCCAAGGCTGCTAGTCAGACTATCAGACTATCTCCCTCTCCACTCTTCAGAGTCTTCTTATTTTATATATATATATATATATATATATATATATATATATTATATGTATATATATCTATATGTATATATATGGCCCAGGGTTTTTTTTTTAGCTGTACTTAACAGAGGGATTGAGGACACGTGTTTATTCCATATTGTCCTGGAACCACAAGTCCCCAGGGACTTTTAGACCATTTCTTCTGCCTCACCTGGTGAACAGCAGCCAGTGAGGACAGTGTTCACCTGAATTGTTGGTGAGCTCCCTCTTCACCCACCTCCCTACCAGCCCAGTGGCCCTGCCTGTTTTTCTGTGATTCTGAGTTTGCCTTCTGGAATTTGAAATCATTCCAGCCTGTTTTGAGCAGGCATTTTCCAGTTTTCTACCACTTGCTAGTTCCCAGCCCCACCACTCAGAATTCTCCATCAACCAGAGGCCCACGGAGGCTGCTCCTGCACTGTTGCGGGCCAGAACTCTATTCGTGTCTCTTAGGCTGGAGTGCACAGTCCCCTTTGCTACAGAGCGAGGCTTGCAATGCAGCTGCCGAGGAGCCATGGCGCTTCCCCGTTTTTCCAGGGTCAGTGGTCTGGTCCTTCTGACTCAAATGCCATGCAGTTTGTGAGAGTCCCTTTTAAGTTTAAGTTAAAGGAAAATATTTTGAGTTGAAGAAAATATTTTTGGAATACTTTTATTAAGACTCAAAATTAATGAATGATTTAAAAAAAAAACCAGTGATCCAAGGTGAGATTTTCAGATGTCTGGGAATATATTATCCAAATTTTCTTCCACTTCCCCATGAGATAGGAAACAATTATTTTCGTTTCAGTCATTCCTAATGAATGATTTTAAGATACCTAACTTAGGGAGATGCAGCAATAGAGACATTTGTCCAAGTGGAGTTAACAACAATGCTTGCACTTTTTAACTTAAAATACTTTTTTATATTTTGAAAAATTTTAGATACACAAGAACAGAGAGAAGAAATGTACCTTCAATTTAATAACTAATATATGGTCATATTTGCTTCATATAGTCTTTGTTATTATTTTCTCTCTTAATTATTTAAAGGAAATCCCAGACATCATTCATTTCACACCATGTACTTCAGAATTAGTTTCTAACAAATTGAACATTTTCTTTATATAACCACAATGCTATTGTCACATCTAAAAAAATAGTGATAATTCTTTCACGTCATCTAATACCCAAATTTCCACAATTGTCTCAAGAATGTCTTTTTTTTAGTGGTAAAATACACGTAACATAAAATTTACCATAGTAACCAGTTTTAAGTATACAGTTCAGTATATTGTGATTTTTTTTTGTTTTTTGGGGGGAAAAAAAGTTCATTTAATGAGCTCCAGGGAACACTCAGCCTGCTGCCATACTAACTCATGAATTACAATGGATTGTTGGTAAGCAAGACAAGAAAACAGGGAACCAACAAAACAAAATCAAGACATTGTTCCTTGCTGAACTCTTGTCAAATTAGATCAAGGAGTTATGGTTCAATGCCACAGCTGTAAATCATTTCTGCTCCTGGAGAAGTTAGAAAGGGCTTATAATATTTACCCTTTTTTTTCAGACAGAATTTAGGTCTGAGCAAAACCTTTTGTGTCCTCCAACCTCCAAGTTTATTGGGGATGGAAGTCCAAATTTGCTGTCACATGCCATAAAAAGAATCTCATGAGCAGAGGGTCAAACTAATTTTGGAATATATGAATTATGCCCAGTGTTACTTTAAATAGAATTTTTTTCTGAGATATACATTTTAAAGTAATAATTAGAATTATGACTTATAACATTATACCAGAACATATAAGATTTTTAGAAATTTCATGTAATGTCTGAAACATTTATGTTAACATATTTCCATACAAATAACCCAAAGAAAGTTTAGTATTAGTTGTTTTGTTTGTTTGTTGTTTTATACTGCAGGTTCTTATTAGTCATCAGTTTTATACACATCAGTGTATACATGTCAATCCCAATCACCCAATTCAGCACACCACCATCCCCACCCCACCGAAAATAGATGTTAAACTAAAATATATAAATTTTTGACTGATCTATGTGACTCTGGGTTCTGAAACTTCTACATGTCACATGCGTGATACATAACACACAGTGTCAGCCCCAGGAGAGCAAAAACACTCCAATGAAGCAAGCCAAAGAAACAAGTTTCAAACAAGGTAAAGTGATGTGTAGACCAGGATTTTTCAATTCTTTCCTGTCATGCTGAAGCTTCCCGCTCCTGAATAACAACACGTTTCCCTTGCCCTAGACACCCAAGAGCATGTCTCTTTTGGGCATAAGAATCTCTAGAGTTACACATGTGTAGTGAAGAGTGGACCTAGGGCTTCCCTGGTGGTGCAGTGGTTGAGAGTCCGCCTGCCGATGCAGGGGACATGGGTTCATGCCCCAGTCCGGGAAGATCCCACATGCCACGGAGCGGCTAGGCCTGTGAGCCATGGCCGCTGAGCCTGCGCGTCCGGAGCCTGTGCTCCGCAATGGGAAAAAGAGTGGACCCAGCTGGCATACTCACAATGACCAAATTGTGTTAATCGTACTTTAAACCAATACGTCGCTCCACGATGAAGTTGCAATAAATGATATATTTGCTTTCTAGACATGAATGAGATACCTTACTGGATATACTCCAGGAAGGCCAGAGAAACTGGAATAATTTACTGGTGAATTTCTTTCAGGATAGCCCATGATTTATCTAGAATATAATCTTTACATATCTGGATCCTTCAAATTAGACCAAAGGGAATATCTGGGCTGTAAGCCTCAATTAGAAGTGTGGTATGCTGCTATGCTGCCAACTAGTCCTCCCTGACCTGTATCTTCGGAGACCAGAACCCAGTGTGGTGGATGACCAATTCATGCATTGAACAAAAGAAGACCTCCTACAGGGCAGTGTATGTGTCATTACAGATATGGCACTTAGGGCTAAGTACCATAAGGACTACAAGAAAACAAACAAACAAAAGTAACACATGAAGCATATAGGATAAGGAGGCACCACAGTCCAGAGCACAAGCCACTACCATCTGTATACCCTGAAGAACAGTGGAAAGTTTAAATGTTGTTTTATCAAATTTCGAAAAAGAAGTGAAGAAAGAACCTATCTGCCAGGAAGGGACATCGTGGGGTGCAGCATCCAGTTGGGTCAGGCTCTGCATCCCCTGCTCAGAAACCTTCGCCGCCTGGCTCATGGTGATGCTGGCAGCTGAGCAGCCCTGGAGAAGGTGCTTCAGTCTCCAGGCCTCGCAGAGAAGCTGGGGAGGTCCCCGGAGGAGGCTGGCCACACCCTGGCAAGCTCTGGGGGCTTCTGCACTCAGCTCTGAGCAGCGTCTGGCCTCTGGGCCACTTGCGGGGGAAGGGCTGGCCAATACATACACAGGGCTCAAGATTAGGAAGCCGATACCATCCAGTCACCTCCCACTTCCTTCTCCAAAGGAGAGGGAGATGAAGGTCCAAGAAGAGCCCCAAAGAGGCATGGCAAAGATGGAGGCTCACACAGAGACCAAAGGAGAGGACGATCGGAAGAGGGGCCACCGTAGCAATAGGGATATACCATTGACATCTAGGCCCCAGGAGACCAGTGGAGTCCTCACTTGCCTCAAGTGCGATCCTGAGCCAGTGGACCTCCTTCCCGAGCACCCAGAAGACAACTTGAGTGAGAACGCCCAGATGTCTCCAATGAGCTCCTCCTCAGAAAGCCATGTCATCTGCTCAGATGGAGATCCTGGAGATGTCCTGCCTCCTTGGAAGCCTGAGTCCCATGCCATGGTGTTCTCTGCCCCAACCGCATGCTGCTCCCTGCTGCTGGAGAGGCTAAAAAAAGAAGTGCTGGGTGAAGACCACCGGCCCAAATCACCAGGCTCACTGATGTCTGGAAAGGAGCTGCAGCGTGAAAAATCTTCAGAATCCCATCAAGAAGCTCCTCTTCCCTGGTGTCTACCAGCAGTAGGCCCTGCAAGCAGAAGATTCCCCTGCCGCTTTTTCTGCTGCTGCCGGGACTGAGGTCGCCCCTGCCGCTGACAAGGGATCGAGGTGAATGGCCCCCTCCTCCTAAGCTTCCGTGCTTAGCTGCTGCCAAAAACCCAGGCACCTTTGTTAACATAGTTAAGTCTCTGTCTCTCAGAACTAGCCCATTTAGCTCCAGGTTCCTTAGCGCACCCGACGCACTTACACAGCATTTAAGAGCTTTCCACAACTGGAAGGTCATATCTTTATTTCTTATCGCAGGAACACAACTTCTGTAAACTTTATTTCTGTCAGAACCTGTCTCGCCAAGCCATGGCTGGAAGAATCTCTGGATACAGATCAGGGGCAGAGGGTCCTCAGGAGCGGCGTCCAGTCTACCCCGCGGAGGCGGTCGGCGTTGAAGTCCAGCAGGCCCTTCCGCAGGGAGGCGCACACGGCGGGCAAAGGCACCAAATCCTGCAGTGCGCACAGGTCCTCACAGCGCCAGAAGAAGTCGGCCGCGCTGTCGCGGCGCAGCTTCACCGAGTGATCATGGCCCGAGCGTGGCCTCGGGGACGCTGGCTGCAGATACGATGCCCACACCCGCCTGGGGGCCACGGCTCGCCTCCCGGCCCTTCGGGCGCCCATCGCCCGGCGGCTGCGGCCCCGCAGCCTGCGCAGGACCGGCGTCGCACCAGAAGACGCAGGGCCACGAGCCCCAGCTAGGCCGGCCCCTCCATACTGCGCTCCGGCGCGGCCTCCCACCCGCAACGCCGGCCGTTGGCGCCGACCTCATCGGCCTCCGCGGCGCGGGCCAGTATATTGATTTTTGTGTTTTTGGTCACAATTTTGTACAGCCATCTCCAGAACACTTCATTGTGCAAAACTGAAACTCTGTACCCATTAAACAACTATTTTTTCCGAATAATATTTGAAATTGCCTTTTTAAAAAATTGAAGTATAGTTAATTTACAATGTTGTGTTAGTTTCAATTATAGCGGAGTGATTCAGTTTTATGTGTGAGTGTATGCATATATTCTTTTTCATATTCTTTAAACAACTCTTCATTCTCTCCTTCGCTCAGGCCCTGGAAACCACCATTCTATTTTCTATCTCTAAGAATTTGGCTGTTCTAGATACCTTATGTAGGTGGAATTATATAGCATTTGTCTTTTTGCAACTGGCTTATTTCACTTAGCATAATGTCCTCAAGGTTCATCCATATTGTAGCATGTGTCAGAATTTCATTCCTTTTAAGGATGAATACTATTCTATGTATATACCACATTTTGTTTATTCATTCATCTGTCAAGGGATACTTGGGTTGCTTACCCATTTTGGCTATTGTGAGTAATGCTGCTATGAATATGGGTGTAGAAATATCTCTTTGATATTTGCACCCTGCTTTCAGTTCTTTTGGGTTTCCACACAGAAGTGGAATTGCTGGATCATATGGTATTTCTATTTTTAATTTTTTGGGAAATTGCCATACCACAACAAATGTACCATTTGGGTTTTTTGCTTTGTTTTGTGTTTTTTGGCCACACAGTGTGGCATGCGGGATCTTAGTTCCCCGACCAGGGATTGAACCGGTGCCCCTACTTTGGAAGCACAGAGTCTTAACCACTGGACCGCCAAGGAAGTCCCAGTTTTCTGGGGTTTTTGGTAGTAGCCGTCCTAATGGGTATGAGATGGTATCTCATTGTGGTTTTGATTTGCATTTCCCTAATGATTAGTGATATTGAGCATCTTTTCATGTACTTTTTAGTCATCTGTATATCTTCTTTGGAGAGATGTCTATTAAAGTCCCTTGCTCTTTTTTTTTTTTTTTTTAGTATTTATTTATTTGGCTGCATTGGGTCTTAATTGCAGCACGCGGGATCTTTTTTTTTTTTTAGTTGCGGCATGTGAAATCTGGTTTTTTTTAGTTGCAGCCTGCGAACTCTTAGTTGCGGCATGTGGGATCTAGTTCCCTGACCAGGGATTGAACCCGGACCCCTTGCATTGGGAGCATGGAGTCTTAGCCACTGGACCACCAGGGAAGTCCCCCTTGCCCATTTTTTAATTGGGTTGTTTATTTTTTTGTTGCTCTCACATATTTTGTATATTGACCTCTACTGGATATATGACCCCAAAATATCTTTTTATAATTGATGTGTTTGAACCAGGATACAGCAAAGTCACACTATATTTGTATATTTTATTGTCTAATCTGGAGGAAATCCCTGTCCCTGTTTCTTTCCCTTGCCCTTGACTTGTGGCAGAATCCAAGTCCATTGTCACGTAGATTTGTAATTTTGTGTTTTACCTTTGCTGCTGCCCTCCAAAATTTCCTGCTTTTGCCTTGGATAATTTCATCAGTGAATTTTCCCTTTAGGAAAGAGAATTTCTCTATCAAAAGTTCCTAGGGGACTAAAACAAAAATGAGAAGAGGAAGCTTTCTCAGTATCTGGGAACTTACCTATGGGGAGGTGGGCACTGGAGGAAGGTGAGAGGGGTGTGAGGATTAGATGGGGTTGAGCTGAGCGCTTTCAGGTCACCGTCTTGACCTGAGAGAACAGGGGCTTTCCCCATGACGTGACTGGTGTTGCCCAGAGAGCCCTCTCCATGACCAGGAGCAGACCCAAAGACTGTCCCCCCAGCCATGGGGCACAAGGCAGATCCCAGGGGCCCTGCTTGGACCACACTGAGGCTTTGTTCCCAAGGGGACACTGGAGAGGACGGCCTGGCCTCAGGGGGACTTTCTAGGAGTCCTGAATGTACAGAGGCAAGGCTGGGAAGCCTCCAGCATCCAGGAGGCTCAGGAGCCAGGACGTGGTAACAGAGAGCCCAGTGAGAGAAAAGCTGTGGTCGCTGAAAATATCTGGGCACTCTAAAAGGTCACCAGAGTTCTCTCTGGGATTAGGATAATGGGCATTTTTTTCTTCATATTTTCTAATTTTTCTCAAGTGAACAGTGAAAAAGTCGTGCGTTCTATTTAAAAATAGATCGATCCTTTCAGGATTAACACAGATATGCCCAAGGATGGCCATTACTGGTAACAACAGCGTTCTCCGGAGATCTGTGATCTGGAGTGGGGACTCTCCAGACTCTCCTGGGAGCCTAGAAGAGCAGCCCCTCCCGCTGGCCGGCCCAGGACCCAGGGGTGTGGGACAATCCCCAGAAGACCAAGCTTGGCAGAGGCAAGCAGAGTCCCCAGCGTCGGTAGCTGAGCTGCTGTTTACAGTTCTGCCTGCAGCCCTGGTGAGGCTTGGACCCTGTGAGGAGGAGGACCAGCCTTAAGGAAGTTCCTGGCAAACCCACTGGAACCTACCCAAGGGCCCAGTTTCATGTACCCAGGAGAGCGTTATCCCAAGTTACTGCTTCCAAACTCCTTCCAGACACAAATGAAACCTGCTACTCCCAAAGTAGAGAACTCTTTATTATAAACCTAGGATACAGAAGGGGAAATTACAGACCGAGGCATTTCTCAGCTCTCTTTGAAATTCTCACAATGAATACAAACAGGTGTGAAAGATACTTTTTTTTTTAAGTTAATTGTTTTTTGTCTTTATTGAGTTTGTTACAATATTGCTTCTGTTTCATGTTTTGGTTTTTTGGCCCTCAGGCACGTGGGATCTTAGCTCCCCGACCAGGGATCGAACCCACACCCCCCGCACTGGAAGGCGAAGTCTCAACCACTGACTGCCAGGGAAGTCCCTGAAAGATACTTTCTTGAAAGAGTTTTAAAATACTTCCCAGTATCAAAGTGGGGATAGGTACCTAGTAGCTAAGTGCTTCATCAAGATTATGCAGAGAGGGGCCTCCAGTCCCTCTTGAGACCCTGAGGGAAGGTACTTGGTTTGCCCCAGCCCTTGCTGGAAGTGGAGCAGAGAAGGCATACATTTGCTATTAGATTTAGGGTCCTGGGTCCTATCCTGGCACAGAGACCTGAGACCATGACATTTTCTCCTTGAAGGAGAGCTTAAGGGAAACCAACGTACAAATCCCCCAAGGAGGGAAAAACAGCTGTCACAGCTAACTTGCTCTGTGAGTTCAAGCAGCTCTTTCCTCGCTCTGTGCTTCACTGAAGGCGTAAATGCTGGCATAATGGGTCCTTTCCAGAGTCTGGTTCCAATGAAGAGGGAAACAAAAAGAATACAAGATTGTCCCATCTTAGTCCAGGGTTAGGCCCCCTCTGTGGTGGGACTGTCCCACCCAGCTGTTCCTGGCAGCTGTATCCAGGGAAATGTGTGCATGAAGATGCCTGTATGTGTGTGCATGAGGGTGCCCGTGCATGTATGTATGTGTCTCTGTGTGTGAGCTTCTATGTGTCCATGTGCCTACAAGCTTTGGGGCAAGAGGCTCTTGTGTGGTCACTGTTTGTAAACTAGTCCCAGCAAACAACTTTGTAAGGCAATTAAGTACAAAAGATTGGTGGGAAAGTTCTCTGTGGGTGGCCCAGGGAGGAAGGCTTCCTGCTCACACCACCATGGTGACCTAGCTCCAGAACCCAAACTTGATGGAGATGCCAGAAGACGGGATCCCATCTCATGCAGGGCAGAGCTGAGAGCAGGACCACAGGCACTCAATAGGTGGAAGTGAAAAGCAGCCCCAGACACTCAGGCCAGTCTCTTGGGGAGTTATCACAGGGAAGGTGTGCAGAGGCTGGGAGGAGTCAAAGAGGCAGATGAGAGGTGGCCCCTTGGGGAATCAGGCTCAATGTAGGACCTCCCTATGCTAGGCCAGGCTGCTTCCTCATTTGTCCCCGGGGCAGGAGGAAGTGGGATGTTAGGTGGGGCAACAGGGCCCCAAAGCATCCGTAGGCACCATTGTGGAAGCAGCTGCCCCAGCAGTGCCATGGTCCCAGCAGTGGCCAGCACGTTGCCCAGGCAGCTAGCTCTCTCTCAGCCAAGATTTGTCTCCTGTCCCCAGGAGACTCAGAACAGTGCTTCACCGTTTCCCACAATCATTCGAACACAGCTACTGCCTGTTCTCCTCACCCTACTTAGTTCTCAGGTGGAGAAACTGAGGCCTAAGATGTGTGGATGGGTCAGAACTGGCTCTTCTGGTCTTCCTCTTAGTCCCAGCTGGCTCTGGTTTTTACTGTCCTGGCTGATAACAGCAAGTGGGCGTGCCACTTGCAGCCACATGTTCTATGCAGGACATGAGATGTGATGTCCAGATATGTACAATGGCTGCAGCTGTGTCTGTGGAGTTGGCATGTCCAGGAATCAAGAGGCCAGTGGAGCACAGATTCCCCATACAACTGCAGGCGGAGGCAGGGGTAGAAGTACATGTACAGGCAGATAGATGCACACACAACCAGGGACTCAGGGCAGTTCAGGGCAGGGACAGGGCCTTGGCGAGGCGAGTCCAGAACCAGGACTTGGTGCAGGGGTTGGTGTAGTCGCAGATAGTGATGAACCGCAGGATGCTGGGGAACTCTTTCTTCATTGACTTGTACTTGATGGGGATCAGTCGCTTCTGATGGGCACCTGCAAGCCAAAGGGTACAGAGCTGGCACCAGGCTCTCACAGTGGGGTGGGACCAATCCTCAGTCCAGGGGTTAACAACATCCCTCTCCCAACTAAGCACCCCTGGTACATATTCAGCCACACAAAGGGCACTCATGTGCATGCACACTTATGTGTAGAGACCTGTCCAAGTTCCTTGATGCTCTAACCGTGGCCCTTGGTGAGGGAAGGCTGGCATCTTGAGGCCCCGCCCACTTCTCTGTGGCAAAGGCAGGGCTGAGCTTACCTGGAGAGAGGCTGAGTGCAAACTTAGTCTGGAAGTCACATTCCTTGCTTTGCAAGTAATCATCAGAGACAACCACCACCATCCGACGGCACCTAAGGGAGAGTGGGCAGGCTATAGGCACCGTGGTGACCTAGTTCAGCATACCCCCAGGGGACAGCCTTGGGAGGAGCCCACTGTGCCCAG